TCCGGATCACAAATAACAATGAAAATCTTTTCATGGGAATATAACAGGAAAGGGCCATTTTCGACCTCATTCATTCACTTAGTCCCTATCTTATACCAGGTTCTATTTCAAGTGCTGGGAATTCAACAGTGAGCAAAAGAGGAAATACCTGCCATCATGGAGCTCACATTCTAGCAGAGAAATATAGACAGTAAACATATTTGCAATAGGTCAATGATAATTAAGAGCTATAGAGAAAAACAGGTAGGGAAAGGTCTGCAATTTTTAATTAGGGAAATCAAGAAAGGCTTCACTGAGAAGATGCCATTTAAACAAAGACCTAAAGGAGATGAGAGAGCAAAATAAATGCATACGTAGAAAGAAAGTAGTAGGGCTACACAAATCTCTCCAGCAAGTTCAGATAAAACAAAATGCAATCCTTTACCTTTCAGAAGGGGCTGGAAGGTTGGAATCTCTTGCAACTTGATGACATCGGGATCGTTGCTGACGTTCCGTGAGGCCTGGGAGCCCTGAGCTACAACCACAATATCATCCATCTTGGCTCTATGCTTGGCTGGTGAAGGAGTCACTGAAAATAAAGTTACACTGCTTAGGAGATGCGTATTAGTTAGGCACCTCTGCCTCACCAAGGCAGTTTTCGGTGTAGTGATTAAAAACAATAATTTTATACAATGTAGCTATCTTGCAGTTGGGATTGGGGTGGCGGGGATGAATTATAGAAACTATTTTCTATAGTATTTTTAAAAACTCAGGCTGGAGCCAGGCACGGTGGCTCATGCCTGTGATCTTAGCACTTTGGGAGGCCAAGGCGAGCAGATCACCTAAGGTGAGGAGTTTGAGACCAGCCTGGCCAACATGGCGAAACCCTGTCTCTACTAAAAATACAAAAATTAACAGGGCATGGTAGCGGGTGCCTGTAATTCCAGCTACTCAGGAGGCTGAGGCAGGAGAATCATTTGAGCCCAAGAGGCAGAGGTTGGGGTGTGGTAAGATCACGCCACTGCACTCGAGCCTGGGCAACAGAGCGAGACTCTGTTGTGGAAAAAAAAAAAAAAACACCACCTCGGGCTGGGCGTGGTGGCTCATGCCTGTAATCTCAGCACTTTGAGAGGCTGAGGCAGGAGGATCACCAGCGTCCAGGAGTTCAAGACCAACCATAGTGAGACCCTGTCTCTACAAAAAAAAAAAAAATTATTTTAATTAGTCAGATGTGGTGGTGCACACTATAGTTCCAGCGACTCAGGAAGCTGGGATGGATCACTTGAGCCCAGGAGGTCAAGACCGCAGTGAGCCATGATCACACCACTTCATGGGTAAGAGAACGACAGTCTCAAAAAACAAAACAAAACAACAACAACAACGAAAACCCTCAGACATTACAGGAATTTATTTTATTTTGATGCAGAGCCTCACTCAGTTGCCAGGCTGGAGTACAGTGGTGCAATCTCCGCTTACTGCAACCTCCGCCTCCTGGGTTCGAGTAATTCTCCTGCCTCAGCTTCCTGAGTAGCTGGGACTATAGGCACATGCCACCACACCCGATTAATTTTTGTATTTTTAGTAGAGGTGGGGTTTCACCATATTGGCCAGGCTGGTATCACGAGGTCTCAAACTCCTGACCTCGTGATACAACCGCCTTGGCCTCCTAAAGTGCTGGGATTACGGGTGTGAGCCACCGCACCTGGCCCATTACGGGATTATATAACATGAATAAACTTCTTTCGTAACTAAACGTTTTCTTTTTCAGCACATAAAAGTATAGGCAGATTGTTTTCATTTTCTCCTTCTTTAATTATCCTGATATCTTGACATATATATATATATCCCTATTTCTAAAACGAGAAATAAAGGGTACAAAATTTAACTGGGACTTGCCCAAAGTCAGCAGTGCTAGAAAGTTAGGAAAGGAATTAGAGGTCTCTAAGTTACTGGTACACAAGGCCCATCTCCGCGACACTGGAGTTGCAAAGCTGTCTATCCACCCTACCACATCAAGCCAGCTATGTTAAGTCCAGGAAAACACCCTGGTCTCAACCCCCAAATGACTGGCCTATTCCAGAGGCTTCAGCCTCTTTTTTTTTTTTTTTTTAAGTCAACGTGGCTGGGCACGGTGGCTCACGCCTGTAATCCCAGCACTTTGGGAGGCCAAGGCAGGTGGATCACTTGAGGTCAGGAGTTCGAGATTAGCCTGTCCAACATGGTAAAACCTTATCTCTACTAAAAACACAAAAATTATCCAGGCGTGAGGTCCCTGTAATCCCAGCCACTCAGGAGGCTGAGGCATGAAAATCGCTTGAACCCGAGAGGCAGAGGTTGCAGTGAGCCAGGATCATGCCATTGCACTCCAGCCTAGGCAACAGTGAGACTCTGTTCCCCCCACCCCCCAAAAAAAGTTTATTATTTAAACTCCTGGACTCCAGCAATCCTCCCACCTGGGCGTCCTGAGTAGCTAGGACTTCAGCCCCCTCATTCTTAAAATTATAGCATTAGTCCAGGGCAAAAATAGCCAGTAAGTCCATTCTAGGCTGAGGCAAAAATCAGAAATTTGGAGGACAAAGGAGGAGATCAATTCAGGTTCCTTGGGAGAAAGTAATCCATTTGGAGGGAAGTGATTCATATTATAAAGGACTCCCTGGACCAAGAAATCATCCTCTCCCCCAAATATCTTCCAGACTGGGGCATGAATGAATCTTTAAAGTGTTTTATGCTCTAGAAGGTAATATTCGCAGGCTCATTATAGTCATATCTCAAAGGTTAATCCAGGGATGCCATAGAACTGCTCTGTCTCCTAGAAGCTCGTCTCCAGAAGCTTGGCATTCCCTTTTTTAGAAAAATCTCTGCTGCTTTTATTTCTTTTCAAGAAATATTTCTTTACCTGTTTTGGTAATTTACCTAGCATTTTACAAAAGCCATGCCAGAAATCTTTCCTGCAATAAATTGTGATTCCTCCTTCCCCAGATGCCAGAGCAAAGGGGAGTTCGAAACATTCCAGCTAGCCTCTACTACCTTATCTGTAAAATGGGATTACTGCAAAAATTCTATGTAAATGTATGTAAAGTACTTGGCACAGGGGAATAGGCAAATTCTTTTTTTTTTTTTTTCTCTGTGGCCCAGGCTGGAGTGCAGTGGCCGGATCTCAGCTCACTGCAAGCTCCGCCTCCCGGGTTTACGCCATTCTCCCGCCTCAGCCTCCTGAGTAGCTGGGACTACAGGCGCCTGCCACCTCACCCGGCTAGTTTTTTGTATTTTTTAGTAGAGACGGGGTTTCACCGTATTAGCCAGGATGGTCTCGATCTCCTGACCTCCTGATCCGCCCGTCTCGGCCTCCCAAAGTGCTGGGATTACAGGCTGGAGCCACCGCGCCCGGGGGAATAGGCAAATTCTAACACCGGAAATGCGCAAATGCTGCTGGTTCATGGGCAAGCAAGCATATTAAAAAGATGCCACACCGCTTCCCCCCAAAATATGTTTCTGCCCTGCCATAGAGGCAAGAATGTCAGATGTCACAATGATTATATTTCTTACAACAAATATGACACTCTGGGCCTTCCAAGGAAATAGAAAAACGTAGCAAAGCTAATAGACGCTGCCCACCATTCAAAGCTGCCCCAATCCAGTCCCCCAGAATGTAGGTCTGAACTAGTCTTGAAGGTCACACTTCAAAGTGAAACACCCTTAGATCTATTAGCTTGCCTATTTATGAATTACAAATCCTATCAAGAACAGAGAACTTCTAAAATCGGGGACTCTTTTTAGGACCCGGATTAACCAATTTGCATTAGCAACCCCGGAGCTTAGCCAAAGCACTCCCAGCTGTCCTGGCCTGCGTGGGTAACAAAAAAAGCAGCAAATGGTCCTCAATTAAACATCAGCTGTTTTATGTATTGAACACTCACTGTATCGCAAACACAATAATCCTCCCATTCTTGTCTCAAACGCTTAGAGGAATCTAAAATTCATGGACAGGGAACAACAATGGAAAACACCAGAGCCTGCTGTCTGGTCAACCTCTGTAAGATTAGAAAAGGACCAAGACACCTTCTGAGAAGAAAAAGCTGTTTCGGAGACCTCTGCACTCAAGAGTTCAAATAAGTGGACACCTATCACATATCCCTTCAGAAAAGGAACCTCTAACACCCGTTTTTAAGAAACAGCCTGTTCTTAGAGGTCCTATAATCCATCCACCGTGTGAGCCAAATCTCACTACATCAGCCATGAGCACTGAGCCAAAAATTAATTAGGTCGTCTTTTAAACAGTAGGCTGTAGCTGGGAGAAACGGCTGTTTTGAAAATAAATAATGGGCACCGGCGCCCACGCTGGCTTAGCTTGCAGTCACAGGCACTTCCATCAGGGGAATCGAGGCCAGGACAGATGGTGACTTTTTTTTTTCCCCCTAGTAACATGGTGAGGGATTTTTCTGTGCGTTCCCGTCCGCAGTCCCAGACCCCACTAGTCTGGGAGGCAGCCCGCTCTGCAAGCAGACAGGGCGGGCTGGATGGGGGGGTGGGTTAGGACACCGACCTGAGGAGTTCAGATCGTTGGGTCGGCTCTCGGCCTCGGAGCTCTGCTCACTGCCCATGATGCCGGCAGCGGTGGCAGCAGCAGAACGGCGGGCCGGGCGGTCACCGCTCCGGCGGCGGGCGACAGGGCAGGGGCCAGGGACCGGGACGGGGAGGCAAGGCAGAGTCTGAGCGGCGCAGCGAGGCTAATGTGTGGGGCTGACGCGTCCAGCCCACGCAGGGGCCTGGGCGGCGGGGGGAGAGGCCCTATTTGGGGAACAGAAACGCAAGGAGGCGCGGCGCGAATGCACCCGGCTCGCCCTCCTTCTTTCCGGGAGCCCTAAGAGAACCTGCAGATGACACTGGCTTTGCCGCACCTGCGGCCGGCGGGCGGCGCCGCTTTCACTCACTGGTTCACGCGCCGCAAGCTCGCTCCTTCCGGGATGCAGATGGGCGGTGCCGGCTACGCCCGACCGTCAGTTCCGGGTTAGGAGGCCCCGCCCCCGGCCCGAGGGAGGGGCGGAGAGACCCCCTCCTGCGACTTAGGGCGACGCCACCTTAAAGGGCCTGACCTCCTTGAAGCCAGAACTGCTGAAAAGGGTAAGCCCTTTCCTGTTGCGTCGCCTTGCAAACACCAACCACGCTATTAAGCGCTTCAATACCCACATGTGAGAACAACTTTACAAACAAGATATTTTTAACCCCGTTTTACAGATGGAGAAAAAGACGCTAGATAGACCCAGGATTCGAACCCACAACAGCGTGGATGCAAAGTTCATTTTTAATTCTGAAGAGCTGGGAGTTTAGCAGTGGACGATCAAACAAAAAAAATACCAGAAGGCGGTGAAGGCAGCAGCTGGAAATGAGAGAAAAATTAAGAAATAGAAAGTGCTGATTCACGTATTAGGGAGTGCACATCTTTAAAGAGAAGAACCTTTTTGGCTAGGCGCTTTCTGGGGACCTTGACAGTTATCAACAAGTCACTCTGAAACTAACAAAAGGTGAGGAGGGAGTAATCCAGAAAGGAAACTGCCACTTTTACCAGGGCAAGGAAGTAGACCTAGCAATGCAATGCCATCAAGGAGTTAGCTGGCTCTGGAGTTCTCCGAACTTTGCAACTCATTTTATATTACGTTGTTTGCGTCAAGAAATTTCAAGTAGGCCAGACGCGGTGGCTCACGCCTGTAATCCCAGCATTTTGGGAGGCCGAGGCGGGCGGATCACGAGGTCAGGAGATAGAGACCATCCTGGCTAACACGGCGAAACCCCGTCTCTACTAAAAATACCAAAAAATTTAGACGGACGTGATGGCGGGCGCCTGTAGTCCCAGCTACTCGGGAGGCTGAGGCAGGAGAATGGCATGAACTTGGAAGGCGGAGCTTGCAGTGAGCCGAGATCGCGCCACTGCACTACAGCCTGGGCTACAGAGCGAGATTCCGTCTCTTTAAAAAAAAAAAAAAAAATTTTTCAAGTAAATGCCTTGAGATTTTATATGCATAAAATACAGTCTCAGAAGAAGTGTCAAGTAGACTAAATGATTTTTAAGTCCCTGCCACTCTACTATATCACAATAATTTCCCCTATTTTACCTTATTTAAGTTTCACAACAACCCTGCAGCCGGTAAGTAGGTGACTCCTCCATGGTCAGCAGGTGGTAAGTGGTGGAACTATTTAGGACTGTCTGATGCTCTTTCCTCACCATTGCAATACAATGAGAAAAATGCAAATGAATCTAAGTACGCTGGTCTCTGGGAATATGAAAATAGAACGAAAAACTGCCTGAGAGATCAGGGCAGGCTTCTAGAAGGTTGTGTCTGACTCGTCTTGAGGTTTACATAAACCACACCAGGCTGATGGGACTGGGAAGGGCCCACTAAGTAGTGAGACCATTGCCTTTTGGAGAGTCCTTGCTTCGCCTCCCAGATTTCCTCTTTGAGGGTTAGGTGAGAGAAGAGGTAAAAGGGGTGAGGAATGGAGAATAACTCATTCTGGCTCTTGTTTCCCCCTTTCCACATAAAAGTATATTTGCCTTGTGTTCCATACACCAGTCCATACTGATGTAATGGTGTTTTTTATGCTTTCTTTTGGATAAACATTTCATTCTTAAAAAGATCTTCTATCCCATCAACTGATGAATGGATAAAGTATGGTATATCCGTGTAATGGAATATTTATTCAGCCAAAATAAGGGAAGGATGAAATACTGATACATGCTACAACACAGAGTAACCTTGACAACATTATTCAATATGAAAAAGGCCTGTCACAAAATACCACATATTGTAGATTCCGTTTATATGAAATGTCCAGGAGAAGCACTACAGAGAGAGAAATATATTAGTGTTGCCTAAGGCCAAGGAGGGGTAGGTGGAAGGGAAATGTAGACTGACTATTACTGGGTATGGAGTTTCTTTCTGGGGTTGATGAAAATGTTCTAAAATTGTAATGATGAGTGCACAACTCCGAATATATTAAAAACCACCGTAGAGTACACTTTACCAGGGTAAATTGTATGGTATGCAAATTCTATATCCATAAAGCTATATTCAGAAAAAGAACATATGAAGATAAAATTCCTTTCTTCACTGGCTTAACATTTCTTGGGAACCTGAAATGTTCTAGGCACTTGCTACACGCTAAGAATAAAAAATTCAACAAGGCCCAGCCCCTGTACTTACAGTCTGGTGGCAAGAAAATTAAATGAGCATTTATATAACATAAGGAGTCTGCTGGAAGAGCTTTATAGCTAGGAAACATTTGAGATTGATGTCTTTTAGCACCTTTTAAATCCCTTCTACGTGAGCAGCAGACTATGTTGTTGTACATGTAATAACTAGCAATTGAACAACCTTTTTGAGTTTACAGGTCTACAGGTCTATATGTTAGACCTACATAAAAAGGTCTATATTATGATCTGTGTATAACGTAGATAACACTTTCCTAATTTTACAGAAAAGTTAAGTGATTTATTCTTGGTCACACAACTAGTAAGTTATAAAACCGGGACTCATGTTTTCAAAACTCATCATGTGTCTGTCCACTCCAGACTGACTCCTCTTCCCATGTCTTTATATGACCTGGTACTCCTAACCAACCAGGCTCCCAAGCCAGAAGCCTGCTTACTCTCAGCACCACATCCAACCAATTGTTGCATCCTGGAGAGCCTCTCTGTTAATTTCTCCTCTATGTCCATGCCCATTTCAGGGCCTTATCACTTCCATTTCTTGGAAGAGAGGCCTCTGGCCTCACATCCTTCAATCCATCCCTCCTGTGGCAGGTAGAGAGAATTTTCTAGAATATTAATTAGGTCTCTGGACTTGTCACTGCCCTGCAAAAAACCTTCAGAACTCCCCATGCCTTAGGATAAAGTTTAAGATTTAACATGAAAACCTTCCTGCTCTGACCCCAGCCTCTCTCTCTGTTCTGTGTACACTGGTAACCTTCCTAACAGGCTGAATTTCCTGTGGTCATGCACTTTCCTCTTCCTGAAATATTCAGCCTTTTCCTCCTCATCTGCTAATAACTTCATTCTTCAATAATTAACTAACACCGCCTCCCAGAAATTGGGATCAGATGTCCCTTCTCTGAGCCTTTTTAGTTGCCATCTTCTATTATAACATTTATTCTTTTCTTGGGGAGGGCAGGGACAGGGTCTCACTCTGGTGCCCAGGCTGGAGAGCAGTGGTGCTATCATGGCTCACTACAGCCTCTACCTCCTAGGCTCTTAAGTGATCCTCCTGCCTCAGCCTCCCAAGTAGCTGAAACTACAGGCGTGTACCACCACACCAGGCCAATTTTTATTTTTTGTAGAGATGGAGTCTTGCCATGTTGGCTCAGGCTGGCCTCAAACTCCTGGGCTTAAGTGATCCTCCTGCCTTGGCTTCCCAAAGTGCTGGGTTTACAGATGTGAGCCACTACACCTGGCCTTCATCACACTTATTGTTTACACAGCCGTTGATTTGCTTGACTCTTTCACCTTCTGAGCTATGAACATCTTGAAGGTAGATCCCATTGACATTATTGGTATTTAATTTCCCCTGCAGGTGTGTAATACATGTTTTCTGATTACTTTTTTAAAAAATATAAGCTCCACATAGATGAGACTTCTAACCCTCAGAGAAGAGTATCAAGAATCTCTTCAGGAAGTGAAGTGACAATGGATATAATTTCTAAGTTATGACTCAGGCCAGAAATTAAAGGTTTTTTATTTTATTTTTTTAAGTAATCCAGGTGCAGTGGCTCACACCGTAATCCCAGCACGTTGGGAGGCCAAAGCAGGAGGATTGCTTGACCCCAGGAGTTTGAGACAAGCAAAGGCAATATAGCGAGACCTCATCTATACAAATAATTTAAAACACCGGGTATGGTGGGTCACACCTGTAATCCCAGCACTTTGGGAGGCCAAGGTGGGCAGATCACTTGATGTCAGGAGTTCAAGACCAGCCTGACCAACATGGTGAAACCCTGACTCTACTAAAAATACAAAAATTAGCTGGGCTTGGTGGCATGAGCCTGTAATCTCAGCTCCTCAGGAGACTGAAGCAGAAAAATTGCTTGAACCTGAGAGGCGGAGGTTGCAGTGAGCTGAGATCATGCCACTGCACTCCAACCTGGGCAACAGAGTGAGATTCCATCTCAAAATTTAAAAAAAAAAAAAATTAAGAACAGTAGCTGGGTGTGGTGGTGTGCATCTGTGGTCCCAGCTACTGAAGAGACTGAGGCAAAAGAATCACTTGAGCCCAGGTGGTCAAAGCTGCAGTGAGTGGTGATTGTGCCATTGCACTCCAGTGTGGGCAACAGAGCGAGACCCTGTCTCAAAAAATGAATGAATAAGTAAATCAATGATATTTATAAATTAAACACATATCAATAGAAAATATTTCTTTAATCATTATTTTAATCAGTATCCTTTGTTCACTGTCATACCTGAAAAAATAACATATCACTTCAATGAAAACAGGTTCAGGTTGGCTCGGTGGCTCAAGCCTGTAATCCTAGCACTTTGGGAGGCCAAGGCGGGCAGATTGCCTGAACTCAGGAGTTTGAGACCAGCCTGGGCAACACGATGAAACCCCGTCTCTACTAAAATAGAAAAAAATTAGCCAGGTGTGGCGGCATGTGCCTGTAGTCCCAGCTATTCCGGAGTCTGAGGCAGAAGAATTACTATAACCAGGGAGGGAGAGGTTGCAATGAGCCGAGATCGCTGCACTCCAGCCTGGGCAACAGAGCGAGACTCCGAGACTCTGTCTCTTAAAAACAAACAAAACACAAAACAAAGGGAAAAAAAACAGGTTCATTGTATTAAAGCACTGAATATGAAGTTTCTAATAATGGAAAGGTCTACTTAGTAACTAGCATGGATTACCCCATGTAGAGAGATTCAAAAACTGATAGCTCTACACCCTGAACCCTGAAGTGTATATCATCTGTAGAGATAAAACACCCTTGCATATCAGTCCCTTGTTGCATCAGGAAAATCACTGCAATGGGAAATTACTCTGGAGTTTCCTTTTCTTTGGTAACTCTTTCAAACCTAGCTTTAACAACATTGTAATTCAAGAGTCATCTTTTGGTTACAAGTAGAGTTAGTTCTACACAATGGACCTTTGTTCACAAGCATTCTCAGTCAACATAATCCTCCTGTAGTTATTGGTTAAGACTAGGGTGTAGCTGTTGGGTGTACAGGCCTAGACTTACTTGCAACTGCATAGCACTTCAGGTCTGCAAGCACTTTCAAAACAGAGGTGAAGATACTGTCAAAGGTTAGACCATATGACAAACTAAGTGTCAATGGTTTAGTAATGTTGCATTTGTGTGTTTATGGAGGTGGGGATGGAGCCAGCAGTAATTTAGAAACTTCCACAACCTATGCCCTATGCAGTTGTTTTCCATTCATTCAGTCAACAAAAATATTTTAGTTAAATATTTACTGAGTGCCTATTGTGTACCAGGCACTATGCTAGGTGTTAGGTATACAGTTTTAATATATGTTACAGACACC